CAGTTTCATGATATACTTCCCTTTAGCTTGGTTATTTAGTCTGTTTATATTCTTGCCTTCACTTGGATTTTTGTTTGTTTGTTTGTTTTGAGACAGTTCACTCTGTTGCCCGGGCTAGATTGCTGTGGCGTCAGCCTAGCTCACAGCAACCTCAAACTCCAGGGCTCAAGCGATCCTGCTGCCTCAGCCTCCCGAGTAGCTGGGGCTACAGGCACGCGCCACCATGCCCGGCTAATTTTTTCTATATATTTTTAGTTGTTTGGCTAATTTCTTTCTATTTATAGTAGACATGGGGTCTCGCTCTTGCTCAGGCTGGTCTCAAACTCCTGAGCTCAAAACGATCCGCCCACCTCGGCCTCCCAGAGTGCTGGGATTACAGGCGGACTTCACTTGGATTTTAACCTGATAATTTCCTGTTATTCTGTCATTTCTTCAAGGATTTTAAGAAAAGTTCAAGTACAGTTTCGCCCGTCATTCTTTGGTTATTTTCAGCGTGGTGGCTGGCCACGCTGGCCAGGCACATCACTAAAAACGGAACTTCCAACTTCTTCTCAGACATGCTCTGGTGAACCTCTGGCTCCTGGTCCGGTCCTTTCCCCGTGTGGGGACGCTCGCTGCTGCCTGTTCCCCCAGCCTCTCGCAGGTCGTGCGGGGCAAGCGGGGTCTGTGCTGGTCTCGCTTCCTGGGGCGGCGGGCACCGCCCCCCTGCCTCAGCTGCTCTTTTGTTCCTGGTATTTCTTCTCCCATCTGCCTCGTCCTTGCAGATCCACGTGTCGAAAAAATGAATCTTTCCGCTGCTCTGAGTGAGGACTCAGGGGGCAGCAGGGTGAGGGCCTGCGTGGAGCCGCCCCCTTGAGCTGGCATCCGAGGCGCGAGTGGTTTAAGGGAACCGCTTTCGGTGGACCTGGGTGCGCGCGACGGGCCACCTTTTGTGGCACTGTCATCCACGCAGGTGTCCAGTGCAGCCACGCTGTGAAGGCCGCGCGGCGTTCGCCAGCGCAGAGCAGAACAGGTGCGAGCATTTTACAAATATGTTGTGAACGCTCTGCCAGCCGGAGACCAGTAGGTTGGTCGGTTCTTCCCCGTGGGAAGAACGTTATCAGCACTTTACAAGATACCTTAAAATTCTGCCTCTCGGGACTCACACGCACAACTGTTTCTTTGTAAGCCTTTTAAAAAAATAAATTACTGGCATTGATTTTTTTTAATAATTTATCCAAGAAACACTGTTAGGCATTGAAAATATTTTTTAGTGAATTACAGGCGGTCCCTGGGTTAGGGGCGACGCGACTTCACAGCGTCTGTGCTTGCAGGCAGCTCCCAAGGCTCCCATAAGGATAATTAGTTTATTTACTTTTTAAAATTTTTGTTTCCAAATATTAAGGGGGCGCAAGTGTTTTTGGTTACGCGGATAGCTTCTGCCATGCTTGGGTCCTGGCTGCAAGTGTGCCCATCACCCAAATAGCGTTCGCTGTGCCCGTCAGGTGGGCTGTCGCCCCTCCCCTCCTCCCCCTCCCATGGGGATAATTTATAATTAAATAATTAAACTAATAATTCGGGGACTAGCTTCTTCCGTGCACGTAAACAAATGTGCGTGGCGTGAGCGGTTTGTCGGCAGCGTTGGCTAGTGCGCTAGTCTTCCTTGTGTACACAGTCGCCTACGCACGGTGTCACTTCTGCCCTGACTTTTTTATTCGATTGTGTGAGTCTGCGTTTACCCTGATGACCGCACCTCCAAATCGAAAGTCCACTGCACGTCCAGGTGAGCCTGCAGCGGAGAGAAAGGCGATCACAGCAGAAAAGGAGGTAGAAAGGACGAAGTGTACTGAGAGAGGCCAGACGCCATCCCTCCCGGGAAGGCATCAGGCTTCTGTCACTCGGCTGCCGGAACAGCTGTCACCAGAAGGGTCGCGTGAGGACAGCGACCGAGGGAAAGGCAGAGCTCCCATGGAAGGGTAGTTATCACTGAGCAGCGTCGTGGATTAATTATCGAAATGCGAAGGTTATTATTCACTTGCTCAGAAGATCAAAATAGGTGTAACGTTCCTCTTAGCCTAGTGTTGATGCAACTTTAGGTGGCTTAATACTCCTTTTCGACATTTCTCCTATCTCCTATGTAAACTTTTTGTATGAGTTTGCTTTTATGTTCTGTTTGAATTAAAAGAACAGAACAGGCCTGGCGCGGCGGCTCACGCCTGTAATCCCAGCACTCTGGGAGGCCCAACACTGTAATAGGAGAGGTAATGAGATTTGGGAGAATTCTTTAAGAATTGTCTCTGAACCTTGGCTGTGTCTGTCCTATTGAGACAGATTAACATGCAGTAAAATGCACAGATTGTTCAGGTCTGATGACTTTTTTGTTTTGTTTTTGAGACAGAGTCTCGCTTTGTTGCCCAGGCTAGAGTGAGTGCGTGCGTCAGCCTAGCTCACAGCAACCTCCAACTCCTGGGCTCAAGCAATCCTGCTGCCTCAGCCTCCCAAGTAGCTGGGACTACAGGCATGCACCACCATGCCGGCTAACGTTTATGAGGTATA